ATGTATTAGGTTTTTAAAAATGCCCATAAACATACCAAAATTAGGAGCGGGGGACCCTTACGTGGCTTATCCTGCTAAGAGACCAAGCCATTTGGTTGTCTCCCAGAGTTACAAAGACACAGGAAAAAGCAATTCAAGCTTCTGTTTATTAGCAAGAATTCTTTTTCTTTTTTTTTTAAAGATTTTAAATTTTTAAAGATTCATCTATTTTAGAGAGAGAGAAAGGGGCAGAGGGAGAGAGAATCCTCAAGCAGACTCCATGCAGAGCACGGAGCCAGACCCTAGGACCCTGAGATCATGACCTGAGCCGAAATCAAGAGTTGGCCGCTTAACCGATGGAGCCATCCAGGCACCCCCATTAGCAAGAATTCTGAGCTAATTTCCTTGATTCTCTTGTCTTGGGATAAGATCAGTGAGGTGCTTCTGAGATAAGAACGAACATTCCAGGAGAGGGCGTGTGGTTTGAACCCAGGATGGGCCGATGTTTGCCCTGAGAGAAGCCGACTCCTAGTCCACTCCTGAGGCACCACTCCTTTGGCTCCTTTGGAGGTCATTCCTGTACAACCCGATGGGATCTATGAAATTTCACATTAAAAACAAAAAACAAAAACAGAACAAAGGACAACTGTAGGACCTTTACCGAGACTCCCATAGTTTTGACATTTTGCCCAATTTGCTTTATTATCTGTGCTCACACTTGGTGGTTGCTCTTGATTTTGCTTGCTGTCTCTGCATGCACACAAATGCGTGTGCACACATGCTGGAGGGTAAATGTGTGAACATTTGAGGGTATCAGGCCGGGTACTCCTCCTTTCTTAGGTGCATATTTCCTAAGAATAAGGATATTCTCTTCTGTGTCCACACCCCAGCTGTCCACTTCCTAAATCTGCACCGGTTTCTCTAACCTGCCGCCTGCCTTCCGCTTCATCGGTTGGCCCCGTCTCCTTTAGAGCAGTTACCTTCCACTCTTCCACAGGATTAGATTCTGCCTTGAGTCTCCTCTCTCTTTTGCCTCCTTTGGTCTGGAGCATGTCCACCACATCTGTCTCTGGTGTTCTAGAACATTCTGAAATGTCCTGAACCTGGAGGATGTTGGAGCGGACAGGACGTGTTGGGAGTTCTGGCTGCAGTGGCGGCTCCCGCTGACCCCTGCTCCCATGGAACCCTGTGGAAACATATCTTTACTTGTCTCCTGTCTTTTTAGCTCTGTTGGCGATGACAACCATTCCTTTGGATTTATTCAAGAAGCAGCCTTCTGGGCCCCAGAGCTTTACGTTGACCAGCGGGTCTTCCTTTGGCAGCTCGGTGCTGGGTTCAGTCACTGCAGAGGTACGACGTCATTCTCTACCATGGCCAAGCTCCAGCTTGACCCACTTGAGATTAGGAGCATCTTTACCTTGTCAGTCCTTCTTAATGCTTGCTTCAAGCAGGAAACAGGACGCTCACCTGAGAGGAGCTCCCATTTTGTACTGCGCATTTCTAGATGCGAATGGGACACTTCCTGCCCATGACTGTGTTGAGTGGTCTGCCGCGTGGGGACCTTTCCATGATGCTGTGTCACGTGGGCCTAACCCAGAAAGGGCCCTTCGATTTCGTTTGGGTCTCCAAGCCTTTGTGCCCATCATCAGGCGCTGAGTGGCTGGGTCTGAGCAGGGCACTTCTCACCTGTCGGTTCTGGGGGAAACCCAGATTAATGCCAGGAAGGCAGTAGTACTAAGTGATGTTGATTGACAAAGTCAGGTTATTGCAGAGGAGGGCAGCATGCACGCCCAGGCGTCGATATTGGTGCTGCATGAAATGCGTAACCGGCTCTCTCTGCAGTTTTCTTACCTAGAACCCGGTGAAGTGAAATCCCGGCAGACCCCTCCACCTGCTCCTGCTGCAAAGGTAGAAAAAGACCGCACGGTGATGCCATGTGGGACTGTGGTCACTACTGTCACTGCTGTGAAAACCAAGCCTCGCTTCGACACGGGGAGGGCGTCCCCCCTGAGCTGTGGTGAGTGCAGGCCGTGCAGACTCGCGGCCCACAGCCCGTGAGCATCTTGTCTCTGTGTGGTTCACACGGTCTCATGGCCCAGAAGGAAGGGTAACTAGCCAGACTTGGGCTTAGCTTTTTGAGTTTTAGCCAATTACCTTTCTATTTTCTCAAATAACTACATGACATGCCGAGGCAAGGTTCAACCCTGTAGTGCATGCTGAAGCTAAAAACCTAGATATTAGAGGAAACATCTAGTTCAATGAACTACCCAATTACACTCACGGGGGGACAACCCGCTATCTTGAAACATTAGATGTAAGTGATCAGTGTAAGTTCTTAGGTTGAGAATCTGTTTTTTAGAAGGCCTGGTGTGCAGTCACTTGAGATCTAGCTGAATTCTGTACCTGTCCCCCCAGCCTCTGCCCCAGAGACAACTTCTGTTTAAGTGTAGGAGTTACTATTTTATTTGTATTTATACTGTGTTTCTGCTTCCACGTAGATAATGTATTCTCTTCCCAGAACAGGTTGCCTGGCACCACTGTTCTTGAATACAAAACAAAGTGAAATTCTGGCTTAATTAAAATGTTTCTGAAATTTTATTTAAACCCAGGTTCCCAGCATTCTTTTGGGTCCTCGCCTCCCCTACCTCCCTCCCCCTCAAAATGAGAGACTGTTAAAAAAAAATCCAAATGGACGGGGTTGCGTGAGAGGTGTGATTTCACCTTCCAGGAACTGTAGGTTCAGATGGCTTTTGGGGCCATTGTGATCTGGATTTTCTCCTGGCAGAGTCTCCCCTGAAGACACCTGTCAAGGTGAAGGTAATCGAGAAGGACATCTCTGTCCAAGCCATCTCCTGCCACGGGGCTCCTGTCAGTAAGACCTTCTCTTCTTCGGACACAGGTAATGAGGCGCGTGCTCACGGCGTCCTCCCTCTCGCCTCCTTCCAGGCTCTCCTCCTGTCTTTCTCATCTGTCCACAGGTCAGCATTTCCTTTTCGGAGTTTGGGAGGCACTTTTTTGAGTAATAAGAGCAGAATGAGGAGGAGACTGGGGGAATGGAAGACAGGCAGAGACCAGGGGTGGCGTTAAGTTTTAGCAGACGCTTTCACAAAATAAACATGAAAACCCAGTTTATGCCTCATGTTATAAAACTTTTGAGCGTTATTCTCCTCGTGCTCAGTACACCAGTGCTCTGAATATCTTCGCATAAACAGGACTTGGGGGTGTAGTCCTAAAGGCAGCTTTGTTGTCGTCTCCCACTGTCCCAGAAAAGCTGCTCGTTAGGAGTGGTCGCCCCCAGAACTCTGCTCGCAAATTCCCCATTTTTATGGTCACGTTTAGGGAATAAATGTCTTTGGAGAGAGGAGTTACGGCCTCCCTAAGTCAAAGCACAATCTAAACTTGGGGATTACATTTGCTCCCTCTGCTCGGGTGTGACCTGCTGTCAGACGAAGGGCAGGTGGGCTCCTTCTCTCCGGCTCACCTCTCCCCATCCTCCCAGTCCTGTTTCTGGTCTTGCCAAGGTCAAGGATGGGACAAGGAGGAGAGGACGGGGGGCAGGAAGCTCTCATCTGACGGGTGCTGTCTTCGGACGGCTTCGGGTCATCCCTCAGCCTGGCAAAGCTGACAGTGTCTCCCTGCGGGAGTGGTCACGGCTCTCCGGAAACCGCAGCGCCCCCCAGCTGCAGCCTCCTAGACGCAGCCGTGGCCCTCCTGTGGCTGGCCGCTCCCGATGCCCCTTTTCCTGCCCCTCGCCGAGCGCCCCGCTGCCTCGTACTGCAGGGACTCCTTCCCCTGCACAGGATCCCTTTTTAACAGGCTGACGTTCCCACTGTAGGTTTCTCTCCCGCTCCATGGGCAGCAGAGCCAGCCGCCAGGCGCCTCCGGGGCCATCGTAGCCTTCTTGGGCACCCCTGGCACCTGGACAGGGCTTTGAAGGACCGCTCAGAGCCGCCAGGTGCTCCCCCGGGGAGTCCTCGCCAGCCCCCTCCTCGTGAGCCTCTCGTTTCTCGCTGTGGGTGGCGGCCAGGCAGCGTGTGGCCGCGTCGGCCCCTCGCCAGTCCCCCGGGAAACGGAGCATCTGTCGCCTGCAGGGGACGCTCCCGTTAGCGCCTGCCCTTCTGATCGCGTTGTTGTTCGACTCTGCCTGAGCAGGGGCTGCCTCAGTGAAGGGATAGGCACCAGCTCGGCGTCAGCGACCTCGGCCGGGCCGTCCCCCTGGCTGCCTGACATCCCCCCACGTCTCAGATGGGCATAAAAAAGGCCCCTGCGTCATAGGGTGTGGGATGGCGACACAAAACAGTGTGCTCCCAGCCCCCGGCAAGCACCTGCTAGGTGGTCAGCATCCCACAGATGTTGGCCACATGTGGGGTGCTGACCACGGGGAGGAGCTGCCTGTACGAACTCACTGTGTTGAACCACTCTCGGGAAGGAAGGGGCATTGCCTTCCAAAGTTCAAAGTCGTCTAAGGGGTCGGAGGTTTTTTGTTTGTTGGTCTTCCTGCTTTCATTGTTTTTCATCAACTCTATGGAGGTATGACTGGCATATGAGGAAGTGCAGAAATCTGAGTAAGTACACAGCAGTGAGTGTGTGGAACCATCCAGAAGCAGCGATAGACCAAGAGGGTCTGTGAGCCAAACCTGGCCCTGTTTCTGTTCATGAATTCCATCGGAGCCCAGCCTTGTCCGATCACTTCCGTTCAGGCTCAGGCTGCCTGCACGGGACTGAGGCCACCGTGAGAGCTCGTGGCCCAGGCCGGCCCACAAAGCTTAACCCGTTTACTGTCTGGCCCTTTCCGGAAGCGACTTGCCGGCCCCTGCCTGGGGATCATCTCCATCAGCCCTGGAGGTCCCCAGGACGGTGTGTGATGTGCTCAGTGCCACCTTCCCTCCCGCAGAGCTGCTGGTGCTGAACGGCTCGGATCCCGTGGCAGAAGTCGCCATCCGCCAGCTCAGCGAGTCCTCAAAGCTGAAGGTCAAGTCTCCGCGGAAGAAGAGCACCATCATCATATCAGGGATCTCCAAGGTGTGGCCATGCGCCCCGGGGGTCGTATCTGTTGGTGGCCTGGCTTCCTCCTGGTGGAAGGTAGCCCGAGCTCCTGATGATGTCCAGAAAGCTCCTTGCAAAGGGCAGGTCCCGTTCCTCACCCAGCACGAGGCTCACTCACGGCCCTGTGTTTATGAAGCTCACCCCGTTCGTGAGGAAGCTTGCAGGCTTCTGGCCCAGGATGCTCTGGTTGTTGAGGGGTTGGTGACCCATGTGAAGAAAAGCTATTGAAAGAGAAAGACTGGCCTGACTAAGGCCCCCGTTGGGGACAGAGCCGCTACCCTCTCGCGGGTCGACATGTCTCCAAACCATTTAAGTTGTTTGCAGGCAAAGGCTAGCAGAGAGGGCAGCCCCTCGGGGCCAGGGGCCGCGCGAGGGTCATGTATGCATGTGGAACATCCCAGAATGAACAAGGGGAACGCCAGCAAGGAAGGGGCTTTAGTTGTGAGGGATGAGGAGCAAGAAGACGTGGTGAACGCGGAGGGTGGGCTGGCACCCGGAGGTGGGCCAGGGGAATGCGGCAGTCTGTAGCTCATGCCGACGTGGGCCAGGGGAGGTGCGGAGGTCAGTCATCAGTGTTGCCATTATACTCAGGGCCTCGGCGGCCAGTGCCAAGTACCAGCTGGCAGGACTGGCACATGGTGCCCCGGGCCTCCCTGAGTGCACTTCCGGAGGCGGCCAGCAGGGGGCGGCGGCACGAGGAGTCTGGGACCACGTCCTCTGCTTTCTCGAAGGCTGTATCTTGGAATCACTAGGAACCCACGTAAACCTTACATTTAATGTGTCCAAACCACTGCGGTTACTATGTTTCACGGAGGCTCAGATGGCCCCATCCTGAGTGAGTGGGCACTTGGCCAGCCAAGTGCAGTTGTCAGGAAGCGGGCTCCCCTGTGAACAGCGGGGCGGCCCCGGGGAGCCCCCGGCCCCTTGCAGTCACCTTCCCACCCTCCAGCCCACGGGCCCCAAGGGTTAGGGCAGCTAACCTGTGCTTGTCTTCGACACAGAGAGGTGGCACCCAGAATTCTTAGGCTACAGTGTGTATGCCGATTACTTTCTGCTCGCAGGAAGCAAACTCCTGTAGGAAGAAGTGTTAAAAGACACACTGAATCCATAGCCCACTTCCCGTGCCTCCCCGTGCGCTGTCTGCCACTTAGAAGGAAGTCTGTCCCTTCCGCAGGCCCCCCTGCCGGGGAAGGGTGTCTGCTTCCTCCACGCCCCTCCACCTGTGAACGCGGGCGCCCCTCGCAGCCAGGGCCCCGACCCTCTGCTGCGAGGGGCGACCTGCACTGGCTGCATTTCAGTCCCTGTGAAACACGGCCGCGCCTCCTGGGAAAGACGTGTGTCCTTGCCCCCCTCCCTCAAGCTGACTTCTTTTGTCCCCGGACAGACCTCACTATCTCAGGACAATGCCGCTGCCCTAATGCTGGACTACTCGGCCTCCATGGACGGCGCCCGCCAGGAGGACACCCCGTCCCTCGTGGGGGCGGCTGCCGCTTCTGCCCCCCCGGAGGACGAGGCCTCAGCCCCTGCCCCGCCGGCCCCAGAGCCCCAGGAGAGGGAGCTAGACTCCTGGGACTTGGACAAGGAGTCACAGGCCTCAGCGTGGGGCAGCCAGGCCCCGCTGGACCCCGATGGGGACGAGCTGTCGGAGAGCTCCCTGAGTGTCTCGGAGCCGGGCACCACCAAGAAGCATAAAGGTACCCACGCCCCCCGCCCGCCCGCCCACCCGCTAGCTTTTCTCTCCTGCCCGTTTCCAAGCTAACCTTCAGTTCCATCGCCGGCTTCCCTTCCCTTCTCCTCTACAGATCCACCCCGCCCTCGGCACCCTGCCCCAGCAAGCACACCCTCGTGGCAGGGGTGGGCCCGCTTGGAGCCGGTGGGCAGGCGGCATATTCAGAATCCTTCCATCTCTCTGCACTGAGGGGGGCAGCTTGTGCTCATGCCTAGAGGCGCCCCTTCTTTTGTCCGCCCCACCCCCTGAAACAGAACCCTCCAGAACGTTTAGAGGGGGCCACCAGGCGACTCTGCACGAAGCCAGCAGAGACCGGGCTTCCTGCAGGATTGGCAGCTCTGAGGCACAATGAGCCTCAGACTCTTCCCTCCAAGTAAAAGCTGGCCAGACCTCAGGGCTGGGTCCTGCTAGCATCCAAGGGCAGATAAGTCCCCCAGAAAAGGAGCCGATTACCTTAACGTGTGTGTAGTGATGAGCAGTGACGTTGTTAGAATAATCCGTTGTTTTCCATCAGCACTAAATCGATGCTTTGCATTTGCAGATTTTGTCAGCGTGTGCGGTTAATTTAGTGCTCTGGCCTGATGGTAACCTAAAGAGCCTTTCTGAGGGACTGTAGTCTAGGGGCTTGAGGTCCCCCTTAGATGGGCGGTCAAGCCTCCCGAGCCTCCGCTCCTCCTCCGTGTGTGAGGATGCGCCCCCCTCCCAGGCAGGAATAAGGAGATCCCGGTGCAGAGACAGGACAGGAGACAGGATGCAGGCGCCTGAGCGCAGCTGGGAGTCGTGGGTGCGGCTCGGCACTAAGTCCTCGCCCCCCCGGTCCCCCGAGAATGCAGACGCAGGAAATCGCAGTCGCTCCTGAGGCCGGGAACCTCGGTAGCTGTTCTGCTGCTACCTCGCTCCGCTCCTCTGTTCTTGCCGCCGCGGACCAGTGGTTCTCAACTGGGTGACTGTGCCCCCCCCCCCAGGGGACCCAGGCAGCGTCCTGAGACAGTCTCAGCGGCCACAGCTGAGACTTTAGCTTTAGTCCAGGCAGTAGAAGCCAGGGCGCAGCATCAAGCCCGCAGCGTGCAGGACAGCCTAGCCCCTCTGGCCTGGTCCAGGGGGTCAGCACCGCCTGGGGGAGCTCCCCTGGCCCCGAAGAAGGCCGTGTGTGCTGTGCAGAGCAGGAGAGGAGGTGCAGGGTGGGGCGCCCCTTCCTCCCCTTCCTTCTCCCGATGGCCAACAGTCCGCTGCCTCTTCTCGTGAACCCCAACCCCCCAACCCGCCTTCCTGCGTTCACTCTGAGAGGCTGCACCTCGCTGACCCCGAGTCCATCCAGAGACCACCGTCCCCTCATCCCTTGCTTCCTCCTTCCCTTTGCCTTTCCTTCTGGAGAGTTCTTTCCCATGGGTTTCCATCCTGGCTGTGCCACGGCCATGCTTCTCCTTTCCCGGCACTGGCCAGGGGGATGGCAGCCCTCCGGAAGGGCACTCTTGGGGACCTAGGTGCTGACAGGTGTGCTTGGCGCTTCCCTGGAGCCTGGGCACGGGGACCTCGCTGGACGTGGCGCCCGTGGAGTCAGATTTGTAAAGGGATGTATTTGGCAGTGCTTCCAAACTTGCTTCTATTCCTGTGTTTTCGTAGAGATTTGGACACCGCGTCTCTAGATGTTGTCAGAACCTTAGACGATTACGTGTTACAGGTGCCACAGCGTTTTTGTGCGCTGGGGATTTTCAGCTTTCTACCCGGGGATCAAGGGAGCGGCTGTATGGAACGTTCTCTCCATTTTAAACTGAAGCTCATTTTCTGGCTGGAGAACCACCTGTGTGTCCAGTCACAGCAGGGGTTCACATACGTCCCCAAGACCGCAGGCGTATTTAGAACTCTCTTGCAGTTTCGCTGATTGGAAATGCACATTATCGTGACGCTGCAGCCAATACAGGGAAGCTAGTCCCCCCAATTCGGGTTGATTTTTAGCTTAACCAAGCGTCCATGTTGTTTCATAGCAACGGGAATGTCCGTAACATGACTGTGTGTTTAGAGATGGTTAAGACGGTAGAGTCCGTGTTCTGTGGACTTTACCATAAGAACAAAAGTATTGATGGAGACTTTGAAAAATACTAAAAAGTAAAAAAAAAAAAAAAAAAAAAAAAAACCCCAAGCCACCCCAAACCTTGCCAGATGTCCTGCCCAGTAACGTCACGTGCGCGCGGGCGCAATGCTTCGGGACTCACTGTCTGTCATTCTTGTTTTGCTCCTGCATACTTTTCTTTTGACCTCTGACCTCTTCTCGTCATCTCGTGCTCATTCCCTTTAACTTAAGAGGATCGCTATGCCAACCAGAATTAATTGCCTACACAGTAAGTTATTTCTGTCTTATACTTTTTTCCCCCAAAAATTTGAGTACAGCCTTGCCATGAGAAAAGCTTATTTTGCGACAGCAGGAAGCTGATCTCCCCTTCCCTTTCTTTCCTGTTCCTTTCCAGCGTGAACTGCCCAGGACGCTAGTGTCCCCGTTTTCCTCCGTAGATGTGCGCTGGTGGGGTTAATGTAGCACGTCTACCCCTCGGGGGGGGGGGCGGGGTGCTGTCCCCCAGCTCAGGGGACAGCCAGCCTCGCACCCCGTCAAGTGCAAACACACCGCTTCCCTGAGCCGGGCCCTGGTTCTAACAAGCAGTCACTTTTCTAAACGGACAATCTATGGTTTGGCTTGAATTCAAGAGCTGTTCTCTGGGCAGCAAACTACGACGTGCAAAGTGACTTCTGGTCACTGTTTTCCTATCAGATTTTGAGATGGATTCTTCAGTGACCTATTCATGTCTGTTAGGGTCTGTGGAGATAAACAAGAGTAAATTGGGAAATATTTGCTATATTAAAGCTCTAATTTAGAATAATTATTTTTGAAGTTCTTCCTATTTGTTTATTCTTCGGCTCTTTTGTGGTGGTTGTTTTTTTTTAACCTTGCTAGAACCAGGGAAAGATTTTTTTTTCCCCTCCTCTCTGTCCCCCATTTAAGATGTTGGCTATTTGCTTCAAATTTCACATACCTTCTCTCCAGATTTTACCTGAAGGATCCTTAAGGTTGCGGGCGAGGTCTGGGTCTTGCTCCTGCCTCTTGGAGTGGCTGAGGTGGTCTGGACTAAAGGAGCTCAGCTTTATAAAACCCAGACTGGGGTGCCTAGGTGGCTCAGTCGTTAAGCGTCTGCCTTTGGCTCAGGTCATGATCCCAGAGTCCTGGGATCGAGCCCCGCATCAGGCTCCCTGCTCAGGGGGGAGCCTGCTTCTCCCTCTGCCCCTCCCCCCTGCTCGTGTGCTCTCTCTCTCTCTCTCTCTCTCAGATAAATAAATAAAATCTTTAAAAAAACAAAAAACCCCAGACCACTGGGGCTCCTGCTCAGGCACTGTGAACTTCCCCAGCAGCAAAGGTGACAGATTCTGGGGGCCCAGAGGCGAGGGTGACATACCAAACTGTTAGTTACTGTCTTAGCCAGAGTTCTCTAGAGAAACAGAACTGCGAGGTGCTACATTTCAGGGAAGTGGCTCACAGCATCATGGGGTGTGACGGTCTGAAATCTGCAGGGCAGGCCAGCCGTCTGGAGACAGAATGTTGTCTTCTCCTGGAGGGAGCCCTTGGCGTTGGCCCTTCAGGCACGGAGCGGATGGGATGAAGGCCACGCCCACCATCCAGGGTAGCGCGCTCTAGTCCAGGACAGCCGAATGCACTGTTGACCCCGCATCTACCCAATGCCTTCAGGGGACAGATGAGCGCTGGCCGGGCTGACACTGAAGACAGAGCGCCACGGCTCCAAGGAGCTGAGGAAGCTCCATACCGTGACCCTTCCTGCTGACGGAGGAGTGCGCTGGCCTTTCTGTGCTGGACCCTCACACCTCTGCGGAGTGGCGCAGTCAGTGTCCCCTCTGTGGCCTTGTGCTTCCGGCACTATTTACCCCAAAGGTCACTGTGATTCGTGCCCCAGTTTAAACAGACCTTAATGTTTTCATTTAGAAAGGAGAACGGAATGACCTCCGTTTACCCTAGTCATTCTTCACGTTTGAGGAGTTAAGCTGTGCATCGGGGAGGGATTTGCGTCCTGTCTTATACATGCTACCAGCGTGCCTCTCAAGACTGATATTGTTCCGGAAGCCTGTCCACGTCCGTGTTGGAGTGCAGGGCCATGCTCTGGGATGCTCTGAGAACCAAGACCCATCCCACTCCCAGGAGGCCTTCCCCGGTGACCGCCCATGCACGTGTCCTTTACCAGACCTGCTGGCCACTTCTCAGGGCTGGGACCTGTCCCCTGCCAGCTCAGACAGCATCGCTTAGGTGCAGAGGGGAGCCAGGCATGAGCACACAGGCTTTCTGCCCTGGGGCACTTGTTAGTGGGGCGGAGTGCATCACTGCTAGGGATAAGACCTAAGCAGGGCTCCAGCCTATAGATTTGCAAACCTCAGTCCCTCCTTTCACATTTTATTGTCCCCACAGAAGCTGTGACAAGTCACGTCAAGTTAGGGGACACCCACACTTGGTGAGTTAGGATGACGTGCACCAGGGGACACAGGACATCATCCGGTTCTCGTATGGATATTGAACAGTCAGATTTAACAGAACTGCAGACCTGTTCGGAGAGCCTGCGTGGGGATGGAAGCACAGAAAACAGCCCGTTATAGGCCCTGTCCGTGGGACGCACGGGAGCTGACCCTAGCTTGTGGGACAGACCGCTGCCAGCAGGAACGTTTCAAGTCAATACGGCACACAGGTCTTTCCCTTTCCCGATTTTACTCACTGGCTGGAAGTCCCTGATATTTCATCTTGATATGGCAAGAATTTGAGTTTTAGTCATTTAAAGTGCAATTTCATTTAAAGTGTTTTTTTTTTTTTTTAAAGATTTTATTTATTTGACAGAGACACAGCAAACGAGGGAACACAAGCAGAGGGAGTGGGAGAGAGAGAAGCAGGCTTCCCGCCGAGCAGGGAGCCCGATGCGGGGCTCGATCCCAGCACCCTGGGATCATGATCTGAGCCGAAAGCAGATGCTTAATGACTGAGCCACCCAGGCGCCCCTAAAGTGTTTTTTTTTATTAGAGCGAGCATGCATGTGAGTCAGGGGGAGGGACAGAGGGAGAGAGAGAATCTCAAGCAGACTCCCCGCTGAGTGCAGAGCCCGATGTAGGGCTCGATCCCATGACCTGAGATCATGACCTGAGCCGAAACTAGGAGTCAGATGCTTACCTGACGGAGCCACCCAGGCGCCCCAAGTGCAATTTCATTTAAAAGAGTTAAAGTGACTGCTTAAAAACGTGTAGATTTCCTTTTTAGAGAACTGTGAACACAGCCACCTCCTCTGAATCTGGTGCAGACCCATGCTTCTCAGCAGCCAGATGCTGGTCTGTCCCATTCCACACAGCCTCGGGCTCAGAAATGGCCAGTCTCCCAGCTCCGGAGGCCAGAAGTCCAAGGGCCTCCTGCTGGCCATGACGGAGACTCTGCTCCATGCTCTCCCCAGGTTTCTGGTGTCTGCTGGCATCCTTGACCTTCCTTGGCTTGCACAAGCGTGACCCCCATCCCTGCCTCCAGCCCCCCTCCCCCCGGCACTCTCCCCATGGGCACGCCTGCGTCCACAGTTGTCCTTTGAATAAGAACACCGTTGTGTTGGTGTAGCGCCTGCCCTGATTCACCGTCGATGAATCACCTCTCTAAAGACCTGTCTATAAATTAAGGTCCCATTCTGAGCTCCTGGGGGTCAGAACCCCAACATATGAATTCTGGAGGGACATGATCCAACCCGTAACACCACCCCTGCTCACACCCCAGCCCCTGGCTGCAGACCCCAGACCAACTTTCAGTGCAGGGGCCCATTCCAGGGGTCCTCTAGGACCTTCCCTGTTCCCGCTGACCTCCAGCCACCGTGGCGAGGGGTTGCTCTGCCCCCCCTCAGGCTTCTAGCCCCATGGAGAGACAGGGCGCATGGGATTAGAGCACTCCAGGTTAACCGAACGGATCCAGGTGAGAGTCCACATTTATATGCCCTTCAGGGACCCCAAGCTAAGCCTAAAGCAGGTTCCTGTAGATTAGAAACACTTCCTGGGCCCCAGCGACCCGAGGTAACCTGTCATGGTGCAGCCCCTCCCGGTGCCCAGGGCATCTGATCGGGGGATTAACCAGTGGGCACCCCTGCATCTGCCCCACCGGCCAGACTGCAAAGTCAAATCCAGCTGGTGGTGGTGGCTGGTGGGGTAACACACCCCAGCTGGTGACTCCTTGTGACAGGCTGCATCTCACGGGGATTTGAACAGCTCGAGGAACAGACACTCGTGGCCCCCAGACGTAGCACAGCAGGCCTGTGGAGAGGGTAGAGCCCCATACACGTTTGGAGTCCACGTTCCGCTGCCTGTCCTTCCCGCTGTCCTGGAAAGCCCCGCACACAGCCTCTCCACGTTAGATCAGTGTAGACACACCCTCGTGATTCTGCATAATAGGCTGTTTGATTGTATCCAAAGAGAAAATGAAAAAAAAAAAAAAAGACCTTTTCAGCAGCTTTGATCAGATGACATTCAGCCTATGCCTTGGGGCTCTTGAGCTCCGTGCTGCGGCCGAGCCTGGACAGAGCAAACGGGAAGTCCGCCCTTGGCGCCAGGCCCAATGAGCAGCCTCTTAAAGTCATGGGCGGGCATGCTGTTCTACAGTGCTGATTGTGAAAGGTCCACAGACAGGGCTGGGCCCGATTCCACCACTGTCCGCCCGCATTCCTGGAGAAGAACCAGCCGATGCTCCTCGTGGTCCCCCCTGAATAAACATTCGGTCATTGGTGTCTGTCAGGGCTACTCAAGTATTTGGTGGCTCGACCGTGAAAATAATGAATTGCCAAATAGCCATAAAGCTCCTCATCCTGATGGGCAGACTCTCTCCTTTCAAAGCCATCAGCATGGACACGCAGATGTGATGAATTCCAGGCTGGCTGGGAAGGCTCTCTGACCCTGCTGGGGTTTCCACAGCATGGCCATCTTTGCTGGGGGTGGGGGGGCCAGGGGACCCGAGGGAGGGACTGCCTACTGCCCTCGGCCTTGACCAGGAGCTCAGAGAGAGGTCTGCCCTGGGACGCACCTGACAGTCCAGCTCACTGCTTCTCGGCTCAGAGTCTTTTCATCCTGAAAACTCTGGTGTTTGGTCCAGGCCAGATTCCGGCTGCTTTTCCCGTGTGGATATAGTGACCGCACACCAAAGTAAGAAACCGCTCTTATTAGAGTCGCTCAGATGTCCTTGTTTCTTTTCCTCTTGGACTAGTGGTCCCGGCGTTTCGTCCACAGCCCATCTGACTGGCCCCCTGTGCTTTCCTCTTGCAGGAGGGATTTTAAGGAAAGGCGCAAAGCTGTTCTTCCGCCGGCGACATCAACAGAAAGACCCCGGCATGAGCCAGTCGCACAACGACCTCGTGTTCCTGCAGCAGCCGGAGGGGGCCCGGAGGAAGGGGGTGACGCTCACCAGGATCCTGAACAAGAAGTTACTCTCCAGACACAGAAGTAAGAGCACCATGAACGGGGCCCCGGCGGAGCCCGCAGCCGGCAGCCTGCCGCACCAGGATGCGGGAAGACGCGGGCCCACCTAACTGCCCACCAGGACGGAGTGAGAGTCCCTGCAAGCTGTCAGACGGCCGCCTGGGCTAGCTGGGTTAAAGGGCAATGAAAACCCAAGTCTCCGGCCAGGAGGTTTCCCCCCAGAGACAACTGTCCGATTTGCCACCCGATGCCAAAGGAGATCTGAAGGCTCTGCCACATGGGCTGTGCTCTGGTCCAAGAGCTGAAGTTAAATGTGAGATTTACGTTCTGAACTAAAGAACATCCTATAAAGAATGGTGATGGGGCAGATGTGGGGGACTCAATTTTACCCGCACTGCACTCGGACACGTAGTACCTTGGGTCCACGCCTGGACCGCGTCGCAAAGAGGAGGTGTCCCCCTGTGCTGTCACTGTGAATGGAACGGATGGGTCACCTGTCCTCACGGACTGCTCAGCGTCACAGTACAGCTCGCCCTGAGTACAGAGAGGTGGGACAGAGGCAGGATTTGGGGTCCACAGAGAAATTACGGTGGTAACAGAGACACTATGACAAAGGTAGAAGGTAGTTGCCTTTGATATTAGCCATATAACTTGAAACCGTATGCAAACACTAAATCTCTCCTGCGCACATTTTGCTGAGCTCTCCTGGATGTTTACTTTGAGCCTGTTTGCAAGTGGGAGATCTATCACTTCCTATGTGGTTTTTACGTTTTCCTCTGTAGGGTCAAAGTGCTCGTGATCGTGTGGGGGGGGGCTCTCAAGTGAGGCTAGCAGCAGTAAGTGACCCACCGCATGGCCACACCCCACACACGGTTTTCCTTTTGTCCCCGGCTGGTTTGCCAAACGCTGCCGATGGCTGAAACAAAGAACTTCCAGGACAGAAGAGAAAGCTATTGTGTGTCTCAGGTAGGAGTCTTAGGGGTGGAAGTTTAATAACAAATGGGCCAAACGTCGCATCAGTCCTTTCGGGAGCTCTCCAGAATTCTGCTGTGAACAGCGCTTGACATGTTTTGGGGTGTCCTTGTTTTGGTTTCCAGTGGGGGAAAGAAAAAAAAAAAAACAGATAAACGTGGCCCGCCATGTGCGTATCTCTGTGTACCCTTCACGCCACGGTCGTCCGTCCGCCTGTCCGTGTGTCCGCGCCACTGGCCCATCCGCCCGAAGGTGCCACTGCCAGGGACGAGCTGGTTAGGGCTGTGGCCGTCCCTGTGAACCGTCTGGATGGTTCAGTGAGATTCGCTTTCTTCTGATAAGATTTAAAAGGCTATCGTGAAGCCTGACCTCTGTCACGGATAGGAAATTGGGGGCGCTCCTTCTCACAAGCGCTTTTGTTGACCCCAAAACACGTCTTTTGGGGTAACGGAGCCACTGCCGAAAAAAAAAACCTTCCCGAAAACCCAGATTACGGAACTTTTTTCCCTTTTTCTTGAGGGAGAGATTCTAAAACTACGTGAAGAATTTTACTCTGAAATACACACTCAGAAATGCCCCGGGGTCCCAGGAATTACCAGGTGACTGTAAGATGAGTTTTTACAGGGACTTTTGATTTTCGTTACCTCGTGAAACAGCACCAGGCGTTCCAACATGTCATTATACCAAGTTAGTCTCCGCAGGTTGGTAATCACTACTAGTCTTTTTGGAACCCATTTGGTCACTTTGTTTTGTCTTAGTGGAGGATTATTTCCTGCCCCCCCCCCCCCCGCCCCGGGGTAGGCAGCACTTGGGACATTCAAAAATTAATTCTCAGAGGACATTATGTGTCAGAATTTCAGGCAGAGATCAGAAGTCTTTAGCACAGTTTTTTGTTTGATTCTGAAGTTCAGATCAACTCAATTTATTCAATGTGATGGGATCAGTTTTACGTTGCCACTTCCTTGCTCTCAACAAAAAATGTCTTAGCCATTCCCATTCCTGATTGACCCCATGAGCATTTTGTTCACTGTGTAATCTTTTTGCCAAGGGTTTTCTTGGTTTCTCAACTTCCTGGTGACTTAAAGCCTCTTCCGGGTCCCGGGCAAGCGACAGGTGGGCTGTCTGTCCCGCATGGGACGCAGGACCGTCCCACGAGAGGTGGAGAGCGTTAAGGAGATCCGTGTTTCCGTGTGTCTGTTGGGCACACATCAAGAGCCCCGTACCTCTGAGTCAGATCCAGGAGCACCCCCCTCAAGACGCACACACGTTTTCTTCCTCTGAGGGCCTTTTCTGAACTTACAGGACACCCAAGAGAGCACGGAAGGGTGCGTGAACATAGCACCATGAGAAAATGGGCCGTGTTGATACTGTGAATGCTTCTTTCCTGGCTGTTTATCCAGGCCTGTGCTTTAATGGTGTAGGTATTTATGCGAAAGTAAATGTTATGAAGGGTACATGTCAATTAAGATTATACACCAAATGCTAAACATACCAATCTGTAAATCACCTTATTCCCTTGCCTTTCCTTATGCTTTAGGGGCACAAGAGCTTTTGTTTCTGTTTTGCGTTCATGATATTTTTGCAAAGTGGTGTTTTGGAGTGATTTCTCACGAACGCTAATAGGAATGTGTGTCTGCATGTCTGGAACCAGATGCTCACGTTGGTTGTGAGCTGGGGCAGTGCCCTGCATTCAAAGATCCACTTGTGTTTGCAGAGGAATGCAAGGGAGCTTGAAGTGTGTGTGTGTGTGTGTGTGTGTTATTAATGTAGCAATAACAAAACCACCGATCTCATCGTCCCGTTGGAAACCCGCTGTGAAGAAGACGGTTTAGACAGTCCTTTATTTAAATCAACTCTCAAGTTTAAGTTTAAAGCCAGCCCTTGATTCCTCCTGAGAGCTCGGCGGCCAGTTGCTGCCCACCAGTCACAGATTAGGTGCCTGTCTCCGTCTCTGATTGGTTTTACTGGCTGCCTCTTCAGAAGAGAGTTGCAAGTTTTCTTCTTGAGCAGAAAGGACACATGAATTTATATCGCTGCCAGCAGGTGTGGGGGTTTTCCTGGTAAGAGCCTCACAGTCCTGACACGTCAGAGCACAAGCTGGTGGCGCCTGGAAGTCAGAACGTTGATGTCCGCTGGGTGGAAAGCAGGTCTCACACTGGTGTAGACCCCGATGCCAGGCCCTCCCTCCCCTGCCCATACCTGCTCAGGCCCGACTACCAAAGCACGTGGCATGGACACGCTGGTGCCGCTACGTTGTGCAAAGCAAACTCAGGTCCCCCCCGGGCCCTTCTCTTCCGCATTCCTGTTTTATGTGAGGAGGCATCCGGAATACGTCGACCTGCCCAGTTCACCCAGCTTGCAACTGCTGTCATGTACCATTTACAAGTTGGCCTTGTAGGTACCCCCCCACCCCCCACCCAATAGCACATCAAAGCTACATTTTTTTAAAAAGAAGAAAATGAAAGGTTTTCAAGGTATGTGGCAAGGTCTGGCTTGATGCTTAAGTGTGGTGATGAATTTGCTGGACAGTGATTGTATTCCTCGGTAGCACTTTAAACCGAACTGTGGAAGATGTGTCTGGAACATGAATAGTCTTTGAAAGAAATAAACATGCACATGGGACACGAAACACCGACTTGTGTTTGCTGAGCCTGGGCTGTCCCGAAAGCCCCGCGTGTGCCTGGGGTCCCGGATCACGGTCATCTGCTGCTTGGTGCTCGGCGGGCGGTGTGCGTGCCCGCCGTGGGCTGCTGCATGAAAGAGGAGGTGGGCCCTTCACTCGTGGCCACTGCTGCTTGCTGTTCTTGGCAGAGACCGTTCCTAACGTCTTCCTACGTGACATTGGCATCCTTTTCTAGGCCTGAGACTAAAACCATTTACTAGGAAGTCAATGTTTCCAGGGACCCTGGGGTCATGGTGAATGGGGGGTGCTACCAGTCAGGGTCGGCTTGGCCTGGGCCCTCCCGAGGTGCAAGCTGGCAGGAGGTGAGTCTGCATGATCCCCAGCAACCTTCGGAGGGGCACTGTCCCCTTGGAGGCAGTCTTTTACATGTCCCTCAACTCCCAGGGTCAACGCCCGCCCCCGTGGTGGCCCACAGGGGACAACGTGGAGCGGGCTCCCGCGTGGGCTCAGCATAGGCTGGTATCACACTGGCACGGGGCTTGCGGTGGTTCCTGGGTGGGGCAGGGCACAGCCGGACAGATGGACAGGTCCCACACAAACCCCACAGGCATCTCGGCTCCTTCCCGGGGCGGCCCTCCTGGGTATGGACTGAGAGCCCAGATGATTCATGCCTTTAAGGGAGCACTCTACCTGTGCACAGCTCCAGCCATCCCAGGCTTGGATGCGGATTCTCAGCTCTGAACGTGGCAAGCGATGGCAACCCGGTGTCTTGTTTGGGGTGGAGGTGTCTCGCACGGCTACTTCCTGCGTGACCTGCAGTCCATCCTGGGTGAATGCTGCAGCAGGAGACCATTTGGGCCTGCTGGAAGGCCAGCCTTGCCCCAGCTGACCAGCTTTCCTAAGCAGATCTCCTGCCAGTCACCTCGAGGCACACACTGCACCCTTACCAGCCCCATCTCCACTGTCCACACATTTTTTTTTATTTTAGAGAGAGAAGAGAGAAGTCGTGTGAGTGGGAGGAGGGGCAGAGGGAGAGAGAGAATCTTAAGCTGGCTCCACGTCCAGCGTGGAGCCCGATGCAGGGCCCGAGCTCACAACCCTGAGCTCATGACCTGAGCCAAAATCAAGAGTCGGACGCGCAACCGACTGAGCCACCCAGGCGCCCCCCAACATGGCCCATGTTAACCCACACCAGCCACCTGCAGTCTGCGAATGTGCACCCCTCGTCCCCAGCATGTGCCCCGCCCTGTTCTAATGAGCCAACCAAACACCAGCCCCGCCTCCTCCGTGAAGTAGCCTTGGCCACCGAGGAGGCCGGGAGCACCAGGTGCTTCTTTCGGTCCCTATCACTTGACCCCATATCACTCCCTCTTACGCTGGCTCCTTGGCGGGCGGTGTATCCCTTGGGCTGAGGACAGTGCACACCTAGTGAGTAATGACCGGTGTCGGCTGGCAGCCCTATATGAGCGCACTGGAGCCCGGGCGCAGGGGACGGAGCCCGCCACGGAGGGGAGCCTCTGACAAAACCATGCTACTGTTTACCTTGGTCGCTTCTACAAATACGGGGCGCTGCGTGCAGATATTAATACCTCGTTCGTAGAAAAGGCAGATTGCTCACCACAGAGGTCTGGCTACCAGGATGGAGGCCTGAGCGCAGGGCCCTCCTGAAGGGAGAGCTGCCAGATCCTCCTCCCATGGTGCCTGAGAAGTACCCACGGTCACACTCCGCCCCAGCTGTCCCCGGCTCTGTACGGCCACTTCCACAGTGCAAACTGCCACGCTGCGTCCTGCGTGTGCCAAGCATTCACTACTGATTATACTGATACAAAGTCGGATGCTTAGGTGGCTTGGGCTACTTGGTATTTTATACAGAAGCCAGATAAAGATCCAAGACCACAGTGATAGTAACTAATACGAATTGAGCACTTAGTACCAGCCAGAATTTTTTTCAGTTTTACATCTAGTGACTCCTACACTCTGAGACCACCCCAGGAGTTACGATCCGTGTCTGCTTCACACATTAGGAAACGGAGGCACAGAGAGGTTAAGTAACTTGCCCAAGATTACACAGTGGTTAAGTGGCAGAACCAGAATTTGAGCCCAGGCCATCTTGCTGGAGGATCCCAGCCCCTAGCCACGAGCCTCAGCTACCCTGTGTCAAAAGGAGAGACCGGGACATCATCTTTTCTAAACGTTCAGCTCCCTGTTGTGGGCGAGGATACTCTAAAGTGAGATGCAACGCTTTGCACGTACTGAGAATTAAATTATTTGCTGATTAGATCTCTCTCTTTATCTGGGTAAGAAAAACCAGCCAGATCGCAAAGCTAGAGGGAGCGTAGAGAAGTGGCTTAGGGATATGTATTTTTATAATGTCCGGTACAAAAGGAGTCGATTAACAAAAAACCGGGGCTGAAGGGCCACGTGACTTAGAACACATACGTCTGAGGCAGCCAGTGTCGGGGCTGAGGGCATCGCCCCAGTGCGGGGCCTCACGGAATCACGATGCCGCCTCACTGCTCAGCTCGTCTCTGCTCGGGAGGAGCAGTGCTCGTAGGAAAATCTACTCAGAAATGGAAGCTCTCTCATTTTTAACTCCCTCAGCTGACTTTTAAAAATTTCACGGACACCTGGGTGGCTCAGTTGGTGAAGCGTCTGCCTTCGGCTCGGGTCATGATCCCGGGGTCCTGGGATCGAGCCCCGCGTCGGGCTCCCAGCTCGGCGGGAAGCCTGCTTCTCCCTCTCCCTCTGCCTGCCTGCCACTCCCCCTGCTTGTGCTCTCTCTCTGTCAAATAAATAAAATCTTAAAAATAAATCAAAAAATAGAAACTTCAAACTTAGAGAATAACCCATATAGACTTCACTAGATTCACCGATTTTGGTATATTTGCTCTACCTACCTACCTATCATCTATTGATCAATTGACCGATTGTTGTGTGGAGACATCGTGTTTTCCCCGAAATTCTTCAGAATGCATTTTCTGAGAAGGATGGCCTCTTCATATCACACACTCAATGGTCATCATGCTTGGGGAGCTGGACATCGAGGCTACCCAGCATCAGATGCTACATTCAGGTCTCCCCAACTGCCCAAGAACATCTTTCACAGGTGGCTTTTCTTTTTTTTTTCCTGCTTAGGGTTCAGGCAAGGTTTCTACATTGCTTTTGTTGTTAATAATAAAATCTGACACTTTCAGAAACAAAACTTTAAAAAAATTTTTTTAAATTTTGGATAGATCAGAGAAAGACAATTATATGATTTTATTCATAAATGGAATCTAAGAAACAAAACAGATGAACATAGGGGAAGGGAAAGGAAAATAAGATGAAACCGAGAGGGAGACAAACCATGAGCGACTCTTAACTCTAGAAGACAAACTGAGGGTTGCTGGATGGGAGATGGGTGGGGGGATGGGGTAACTGGGGGATTGGCATTAAGGAGGGCACATGATGTGATGAGCACTGGGTATTATATGCAACTGATGAATCACTGAACTCTATCTCTGAAACTAATAAAAAAATATAATTTTGGTTCGAAATCTGCTCTCAAAAGAATTGTTTCCAGCCTTCATAGAAGGAATATACTGAACACCCTGGGAATTCTTCTGAAGATTCAATGAGCATTGTGAATATGAATCCCAGCCCTGTGCTACATGTACTAATATGAGAAACGGCTTTAGGTGGCCTCAGGTCTACTTTTATAGGTTTTCACTCTTGCTGTAACCGGTCCATTTTTTCTGCAAACAACCTGCTTTTGTTCATGCTTGCCAGTACCTCTGGTGTGCAGAGGCCCAGAGAAGCATTTGGGCATTTGAGAATTGCAAGCGGGCACTCAAGGGGTGGGAGGTAGGTGAGGGGGGCGTGTTAGCTGTTAGCGGTCAGTCTGGGGCTCTTGGGGATTGAGCAAAGAATGAACGCTGAATGCTGAAAAGATGGTGGTGGAGAACCCCTGGAGAGCATTCCAAGTAGAGCGAATCTGTGCAAAAGACCTCGAGGACATGTTTGAGGGACAGAAGGCTGAAGGGAGGTGGGAGTCCCAGAGCTGGGTGGGGTATGAGCAGGGTAAAGGTGAGATGATCAAGAGAGGTGTGGGAGGCTGGGGTGCAGACCTACTGTTAAGTGCCGCTGGGAAGTCACTGCAGAAGGTTAGGGAGGGCGGACCCATGAGCCCTAGCAGCACAACATGCTCAGCATGCCCCCTCTGCACCGGCTCAACCTTCCACCCTACAGCAGGGCCCCTTCAATGGGTCCTTACTTATTACCAATTCATACAAGTACGCCTGGCTGTTGAATAAATTCCTGCTCATGGGCCTGCCTGGCCCAAGGCTCTATGCATTTAGAATTCCCATATTAACAAATGGCCCAGATGGGGGCTATACCAAATTATTCTCCCACCAGGAAAAGATGAGAAAGACGAGACAGCTTGTTTTCTATAGTCTCTTCAAAATAATGCTATTAAGCTTAAAAAAAAAAAAAAAAACTTTGCTAATGTAACAGGTAAAGATAATTGCACTCCAATTTTGCCTTTTCTCTCATGAAGGTGTAGTTGAATAGCCTTGCTTATGCTTAAGAACCATTGTGTTTTCCTGACCGGGACTGTCCATTTCCCTATGGGGTTCTTCATCTTTTTCCTATTGATTCCTAGGAGCTTCCTATGTATGAGGAAAATGAGTCCTTTCTGATACCAATTTCAAATCATTTCCCACCAGTTCATCCCCTCTTGGACTTTACTGGTGGAGCTTTCTGCCAAGCAGAACAAAGAAGACAGTCTTACTGCCCTGCACTGGAGACTAAAAGACCCCTCTAGCCCCTTCTATCTGTGACATTCTGGGGCCACAGGTACATTCCACGCAGGGGGTCAAGAGGCCACGCAGGCCACTAGGACCTGGGAGTCGGGAGGGGGCAGACACAGCTCCAGGGAGCAGTCTGGCCTTCAAAGCTGCCCTGACGGGGTGGTGCTTTTCCCGAACTTTCCACGTAGCAGCATCGCACTGGTCAAAGTGTGGATTTCAGGCGCCCACTGTGCCCGGCCCAGATGCCCGCCCCTCTCGACTTCTGAGCTTGTTGGGGCAGAGTAAGCGCTCCCATGCGTGTTCCCTGAGTGGATTTGGAGGCCCGCGACACCCCATCCGCTGTGTTCAGAAGTAACTATGATCTGGCAGCAAATCTCAGACTGCTTTTAAAGAAAAATTTGACTCTTCCACCCCCCACCCCCCCAAAGGAAATTAAGGCTCCAGCAACCACCAGAAGAGCCTTAAAGGGGTCCCGGGGCTGCTGACGCCTGTCGCTTCCAGGGTCCCAAGACCGGACACGCGTGCGAGTAAGGGACAGCAGAACCAGCCCCGCTTCTCCCAGGCCGGTCCGGATCCACAGCTCGCCGCTCTCCCGTCTACACCGCCCGCTTTCCGACAACCCGATCCACATCACCGCTCCCGGTCTACACTGCCCGCTCCCTGCCGTTCTCTGTCCACGTCGCCCCTGCCCTCCGCACTCCCAACCACGCCTCGCCGCTCTCCTGTCCGTGCCGCCAGCTCCGGGGTCCGCAGCACCCGCTCTCCCACTCCCCCTTTCGCGCGGCCCGCTTTCCCACTCCCCGTCCACGCCGCCTGCGACCTGCTCGCTGCCCGTGCACGCCGCCCGCTCCCGGGCCCACACCACCCGCTGTCCCACTCCCCGGTTCGCGCGGCCCGCTTTCCCACTCCCCGTCCACACCGCCCGCGACCTGCTCGCTGCCGTTGGTCCACGCCGTCCGCGCCCCGCCGCTCCCAGTCCGCGCCGCCCGAGCCGGCGCCTCTCCGCCGCGGACTACAACTCCCACAATGCCCCGCCACCGCCCCCCGGCTTCCGGTGCTGCGCAGTTTCCGGAGCGGATCGCAACCCGGAGTCCGGATCCGAGCCCGCTCTGCACATTCCACAGGCAGGTAAAGCCCGGGGCCCCGCGCCCGCCGCCGCCCCCGCGCGCCGCCCCGGCCCGGCCCGGCCCGCGCCCGCGCCCCGCGCCCCGCGCCCGGCCCGCCGCCGCGGCCCCGCCCGCCCGCCGCCCGCCCCGGTCCAGCCGCCATGCCGACTGTTCTTTGTTACATTCGCCGGCTGCGGGCTCCGTGGGCGATCGGAGTCAAAACCCGGCTGGATTTCCCGGAGCCGCTCCGGGATCGCCCTGCGCGCCGCCCCGCGGCCCGCGCGCTCCGGGCCCGCCGCCGCCCGCCGCCCGCCGCCCGCCGCCCGCCGCCCGCCGCCCGCCGCCCGCCGCCCGCCGCCGGCCGGCGCGGGGCCGCGCTCGCCCGTGGGTGCGGCGCGGGGGCTCCTCCGCCCCCGGCCCCAGCCCGCGGTCCCCGCCCCCGGGCGCCTCCGCCGCCGCCGGCCCGGCGTGATGTCACCGTCCCCCGTCGTCGGGCACGGCCCCCGGGGGAGCTCGGGAAGGGCCCGGGACCTCCGTCCCGGCGGTTAGGAAGGCGGACCCGGCAGTCCGGCGATGGGGCTCTAGCCGCCCCGCAGGGCACCCCGCCCCCCTTTCCGTAAACCCTTGGGCGGCCGAAGGGAAGGGAGTGAAGTCCGTGGACAGGTGGCACGGGGTGGGCGGCTGTGCCGGGACGGGGCTCCCCGGCCGGCCGCACAGGTGAGGCCCGGCCCGGCGGGCCCGACGGGCAGGTGGAGGCGCTGGCCATGTGGCCTCTGGCGAGAGGGACAGGTGTGCGCGGTGAGGGTCGGGTTTGGAAGACAAGAGTAAGCTCATCATGGAGAATCGAGCTCCTTGATACTCACAGTTATGGGTTCACCTCTATTAAGCTTCTAAAGTAGGGGATGGGGTTTTTCCCCCCGGAAATGCTCAGAAATTGCCCCGAACCGCCCCCCCCAAGGGTAAGTTAAAATGGTAGAGGCAAGCGTGACATCAGAGACGCACGGACCGTGTATGTATTTAAGGCTGCCAACACAAAACCACCTTTGCTTAAGCCACTTTCATAAAATCCGGATTCACCAGATAAATTCAGAGAACCCAGCTTGGTTCCCCAAGGTATTTTTGAGGATGAAAAGTAAGGAAGCATCTGGTTTTGTGATAAGCCTGAAAAGGCAATGAGGAGAGAACTATGCCAGAGGGTGCAAGGAGGTAGATGCCGCCGTGACAAGTGAGGCACCCCAACCCCAGGACAGCACACAGTGATACTTTGTTTCAGAACTGCACCTGCTCCCATTGTCCACGTTTTCACTGCTCCATGCGGCTTCCCCGAATTTCCTTGACATCACTGCCTTATGGTGAATGGTTAAGATGTGGAGCTATAGTTTGGATTTTGAAAGGGAAAACCAGCAAAATTTCTCCTTTACAGAGTTTTTCCTGTTGACATCTTTGATTTATACTTTAGCAAAAAAAAAAAGAGTTCCCAACAGAGGATATAACGTTATATTCTATTTTGGAAGCAGAAAGGACGGTTATTTTTTTCCCAGAAGACAAATAAATGAATTAAAAAATCAACCCCAATTACAAGGCTAATACATTTCCTTGGAGTAATTATAGTTGAGAAAGAACTCTGTTTGCCTCAGATAAACCTCTCATTATCATTCTTTTGATATCATTATCTGGGGAGAAAGCCAGGAAAAGAACTCTCCTCCCATTTTGCAGACTTAAGGGAGATTTAGGGTACGTTTCTGATACACGTGATTTCAGAGGGTAAGTTTGTTAGGCAACGACTTAGGTGCTTTCTCGGTCTCCTTGTCACACTTGTAAGGGGGGTAGTACCTGCCCAGCTCACCTCAGACAGCTCGTGCTGTGCATTTTCATCCCTGTGGCCACTCGTTCCATGAATATTTATTCGGTGTGGGCCTATCATGTGCTGGGTACTGCAGAGAACAGGAGAGAAGGCCCTGTCTCTTGGATCTGATGTGCTGGAGGGAGGGAGGGAGGCATTGACCAGAAACAGCAGAACTCGGTTAGGTGGCCCGTAGCTAGAGCATGTAGAGGACAGGAAGCAGGTGGAGGCCGGGGCGTGGGTAGGGGGGACACACAGGCAGTCTGAGCAGGGGACACTTGGGCTGAGATCAGTGCTGTGAGGCGCTCCTGGAGGCCTGAGGACAGAGTGTCACGGGCAGGGGAGTGGCAGGTGCAGAGGCCTGGTGTGGAATAAGCTCACCCAAGGGTGAACAAGGCAGTGTGAACGAGGGGAGAAAGCACAGGAGGGCCACACAGACTGTGCACCATTAAGAGTGTATCCTGAGTGCCCAGTGGATGCCACGGAGGGCTTTGGGCAGGGGTGGGACAAGATTTGTGTCTTTTTAGAGATGACCCCGTGCTTGCCACGTGGGGAATCCGGGCCTGACAAGATTCCATGATAAACAGGGTGGAGGCAGGAGGCAGAGGAGGAACCAGGACCAAGTGTATTTCTAGAGCCAGGAGGCCTTGCTGCAGGTTTGGTTGGGAAATGTGTGGTGGTTGACTGGAGGTGCCATTTACGGAGGTGCAGGTGACAGGTGGGTGGCAACCGGGGAGGAGGGGATGGTGACCGGGGGTCCTGCAAACAGTGGCGTCTTCAAACCGCCCCTCTGGGGTGGGAGAAACCCTTGCTCGGGGCCTAGAGTCTGGGTCCTCGACTTCCCTCTACATGCTGATCCTGAGGAAGGGTCCTTCCTCTCGGGGTCCATGAGAGAGCAACCCCCATCCCCAGTCTGGGGGTGGGCCAGGGCCCTGGGGTGCAGAAACCTCGGGATCCAACAGATACGTGGGTGTCGTGTGGGTGTCAGGGTAGTGGCTTCACTGTGGGTAAGAGACCTCAGGCTTTCGGTGGATGGAAGGCATCCTGACGCCGGTGGAGGAGGTGGGGACCCATGGGTGGTCACGGTGGTCGGTGATGCATGGCCGCAGGGGACGCTGTGGTGACAGAGCTGCTCACTCACGGTTACTCGTCTGCGGAACCAGGCTCCCTGCACTCGCATTGACAGAAACAGAGTAGGAACAGATTTGCACGTGTGTCCGTGACAGGTGGACCGGCTGGGGAAAGGCCTCTCTGCCTCATCAAGCATGGTCTCTATGTCAGATGACTGTTTATCGAAACGTATGCTGTCATTTTGTTCAAATCGGTGGGGTTCCAGTTATTGCAGTGCTAACTCAACCCTGAAGAAATGATCCCACGCTCTGGTCATAGAAAATCAAGACTGATTTGATTTACGTGCATAAACTGTGAGCCTGTTTGCAGGGTGGGCAGTAGCATCATCTCAGGCGGGAACACGGAGCAGTGGGGTTAGGGTCCGCAGGGAGAGGGGTGGAGACCCCAAAGACGGGCCGAGAACTTCCTGACAGTTGAGGGAGAGCTCGTGCCTGTGCTCCCTAAACAGATGGCAGGAGCTCTCACACCGATGCTTGATTCCAACAGACACGTTTAGAAGAGTGACCTAACAGTTTTATTTTAAGAAGCCAATATTTATAATATGCTGGAAATTATGTCCCTTGCAGCTGTTAAAACGAGGGACGAGCAGCTTAAGCTGTCAGCTCCCATGCAGGGAAGGTCAGCAAAGAGGTCGGCGGTGCCTGCAGCCAGGCATCAGGTGGGGTCAGGGACCGAGGGCTGGACTGGGGACACGGGCATGGGAGGCGACGTGGGGGCAGGTGCTGGGTCCGGAGGGAGAGAGGACCCAGGGGTAGCCTGGGTTACCCCCCACCACCACCGGAGGTGGCTTTGGGCAGGAGACAGGAAGGGAGGGGAGCTTAGGAAGGCGCCGCCAGAGAGACTAAGGAAGACTAGGACTTTGCAGAGGGAGGGCGTGAGGGCTCCCTGCAGAGTGCCTCCCGCCTCTGGGTGCCTAGCGCTGATGGAGGGCTGGCTCATCAAGATGGAAGGCGACGTGGCTGATGGGTGCACCTGGGTGGAGCCATGGGGGCGAGTCCTCCCCTTCAAGAGAGACGGGGAGGTGAGGAAGCCAACAGAGTTCTTCCCGGGAGTTTTGCAGTAGAAAGAAACAGAAATGGGGCTTTAGAGCCATGGGGGAGGTGATGTAAGGAAAACATTTTTGTTTGTTTTAATGAGTGAGCTCTAGTTGAGGCCGGTGTGAACATGGCAGGGCTGTAACTTGCTGCTGAGGAGGGTGCAGGTGGCCTTGGGTCTCCCAGGGGAAAGTGGGCGTGGCGGGCCCGTGTGGGGCAGGACAGGTGTGGCCAGGAGGGGCCATTTGGATGAGGTCCTCAAGATTGGGTAGGAGTTTGACAGATGGAGAGAGTTTCTGGAACAGGAAACAAGAAGAAGGGGTCATGGAGGCTGCAAGCTGGCCATGGATGATTTGGGGTGTTGAGGAACCCTTGGAATGGCGCAGGGGGCAGCTCCGTGGGGGCCTTGCTTAGGCCTCTCATCCTCAAAAAGTCCACAGAAATCCAACTTTGGACCCTCCCCGAGCCTTCCTGAGCCTGCGGGGTCGTAGTTCCACAAACTCACATAAAATTGAAACTTGGATTTCTCAGAGATGATGCCTTTCTTTGCCTGGTCTGGGCTGTGGGTTACTGGCTTCGTTTGGCTCGTTTTGGTGTTTAGCATGCTCGGCGTCTCCAGCTTACAGCTGTGAGCCTTGATGGATTGCAGGTATCCGCAGAACGCAGCTGTCCAACAGCCTTCGGCCCTCCATGCGGCTGGAGGCACACTCTTCGCGAGTTGGGCATCCTTACGTCATGAGCTGTGCGGGGATGATGCTCGGGATGATGGGTCAGGACTGTCACTTCCCACTCACGCTCTGGGGAGGAGAGCCTGTACCCGCAGGACAAGCAATCTTAGAGAAGGAGTGGTCCACACGTTTCGCCTTGTGTAAGGCTAAAAATGAATGTGCTAATCAGTTATAGTATGTTTGCCTTTGATTGTGACCCAAAACATAGGTGTGATTTTAGCACCGCGTCGGTCCAGAGGTTGACCGCGTCCTTGCTCTGAGCCGGCCGCTTCCGTCCTGTTAATTG